CATATAACGGTAATTTAGAGAAATACAAAATCTTCGATAAATCAGTAAATATTGAAGCTAATTTATTCAAAATTGATGCTTGCAACAATTCTTTACCAAGAAATACGTTTATGGTAAAATTTTGGAAAATGGGCGTGGCACCGCCCACTTATGATCACATATAAGTATATCGGTAACCGTTCTACCAATTTGTACCAAACTCGGTGTGGTTATTGTGCTTGCCACATATAAGCAAAACGTTGAAAATTATTGAAATCGGACTAAAATAACGGCCGCTTCTCATATAACGGTAAATTTCAGAAATGCTTGAAACTTCAATATTTCGAAATTGAAGGACGCTAATTTACTCAAAATTGATACACCTCGGCTTACCATCTAGCGGAAGGTTTCGGAAGGGTGAAAAAACATATATTTAATACTTGCGCCGGGTATTTAATGTTCGGCTCCGCCCGAACTTAGACTTTCTTACTTGTTTTTGCCTAATATTGTCTCACTAGATTTTTTGTTGTTTTTTAGATTTTTTTACATGGAGTATCTGAATATGTGCAGTTTTTGTAAATGCTGGAACGCATCCCCTGTTTTTGTATGAAAGTAAAGTACTTTTTTATGAGGCTTTCTGAGGAACGCGTGTACCACATAAAATAAGTTTATATAACTTTTATTTCAAATAAAACACAGAAAAATGAACGAAATGGCCAATATTTTGGCTTTATTAATTTGAAAATTTTATGGAATTTAGTGCTAAGGCACAATTTCGGTTGCATGGCCACCGCGCTGAGCCTTATGAAGACCATGCTGTCAGCTTTCTATCGTCAATAACGCACCGAATATTGGTTACCAACTAGTCAGTTGCAGTTGTTTTATCTGCGTAGGCATTTGTCTTGGCTTACGCCCATCAAAAGTATGTACTCTAACGGAGTCATTTCTTGATATGCTTCGGTCACCTCACCAAAAGTGCGTCACAATAAAGTAATGGGCTATTACACCGTCCTATTGGAACCATTTAGCTCATAAATGATTACGCTGGCCATTGACGGTAACGTTGGCTTCATCTTCAGTTTTACAATGCTTTCGGCATGCAAAGCATACAGTAACTTTTTCTAGATACATACGAGAGGAAACGATTTGGTTAAATACGGATACACTATACAGTAAATCTCTGCGGCACTCTTTCAACAACTGGTTTCATTACTTATTTAACTGAATAACGGTAGTCCTATTGTAGGCTTATCTAATAGACGAATTTTCAAATATGTCTACTAATACCGACTAATTCGTAATTTTAAATTTGAATACCTCACATTTTAAATCGAATTGCTTCACCGCAGGATAGATTAAGAAGTACATATATAATGAGCTATTTAACACAGCGGAGTGATATCATTGGGCAATAAAAAACCACTATAAAGAATTCATTAAATTCGCGCAATATGCTCAAGAGTAACAGCGCTAAACAACTTAGCGCCCGTTAGGAATGAACGTCGGCGAAAACAGTTTTGTGTCAGATATGCTTACGGTGACCATATTTATGGGAGCCGAATACGGGACAAAATTTAATTTTGTGAATTTATTCAACAAAAACTTACAGATCTTTAAGTCCAAGATCCTAGATTTATAAACTCTGAAACAGCATCCTTATAGTAACATCTCAAATTTGTGGGATATTTTTCTCGAGATTTTCAGCCCGCGAAATATGTTAAAAAATTCGTTAAATTTTAGTATTATAAAGTGTAATATTGATATCTCTAAGACTTTTTTTGGCAACTCTTTTGTTGACGGTGTAACGCAGTTTTTCATACAAATTAAGCATCTATGTTCAACAATTTTTTTAAAAGGGAAGCAAATGAGCATCTCTTTCCACTTGCACTTTATTATACTCGAATTTAATGAGCTACAAAACTGCTAACCAAATCTTTTTTCTAAAGATTCTAATTAAAAAGTTTGAAATTTTGATGAAACATTGCAGAATTAATTTTTACAGTTTTTTGCACAAAGTCGGAAACTTGGATTTATATGGTTTTTATTAGACAAAGAGCTTTACTTTCATAAAAAAATAATAAACATTAAATAAACTAAAGAAAAATGGCCAAACCTTGCTAAAAAGTCGGGTTCTGATTTATATTTTGGTCACTGTATGTATTCCTCGATTCTAATCACAGGCATTCAGATTAGAAAATAATAGCTGTTTATGGAGAAAATTACGATCATATACCAACATCACTTAAAACTGGTTCATAGGCATGCCATTTTAATGAGCTGTAAAGGCGTCAAAATACGTAATAACGAATACGGGACAAATACAGGATATTAAATTAAAATAAATAAATTACCAGGACAATGGGTCAAAAAAGAGGACTGTCCCGTATAATACAGGACGGATGGTCACCGTAGATATGCTAGTTATACACATACTCTACTCGCATATGTATGTATAAAAGCTTTTTAAATTGTCTTCTCTTAAGTCATTCATGATATTCATTAGATGTACATACCCAGCAGGGAGTGACGTTAGCTTATACCTAACTTTAGTCTGTTTACGCGAACACTAGTGCTAACTATTAACGGTATTAGGGTATTCACAGTTTACTTTTAAAGTTAAAAGGTGGTAACTTTAACAAGATAACACATTTGAACTGTGGGCAACCCTACACATATGTGTCTCAAATTGTCAGTAAAACAAATATAGTCAGATATATATTTAAAAATCTTTCAAATTACGCCCACCTTATATTTTTCTGCTTCACTTTCCATTTTTTCACAAAACAAAAATATGAGACAAAGTCGAGTAATTTTGATCAAAACTGTTATCTCTAATTAGTATGGGAACAAAGAACAAACAAAGCTACCACATGGTAAAATGTTTTAAAGTTACCAGGTGGCAAAATTAACACAGTAGATAATATAGAACTGTGAGCACTCTATATATTTTGTTCGAAAAAAGCTAACTGGTTGGATACTTCTGCACTACATGTAAACTAACTTGTGACGAACTACTTTTGGACATAAAACATCAATAAAAAACATTTCTTAATTTTTTTACAATTTTATTTAATTAATTTATATTTAACATTGCATATTTGCTTACATATTATGCAGTAGGTGGTCCTGTATTGGAATTCCGTCAGACATAACTTCAAAATGATAATATGAAATTTTGATCGTCATTTTATTTGTCCTGAATTCGAGAAAGAATTTGTGAAGTGCAGAAAAAAATTTATCCAAAGTAGATTTTGTATGAGGATTTTAAATTGAAATTTGTCAAGAAAACAAACTTCCGATTGCGTCTGCACGGCTTCTGCACGAGTTTACGACTCACTTTAAGTTCGTTTTGTTATAGCTAATTAAAAAGATCTTTATTGAAATACCTTTAAATATTAAGCGATCGATGGCATGATCATAGCGAGGAAAATAAAATATTTTGAAATCGAAGCTTTTCTTACCCTTACAGGTTTCCACAAGACACCATCCAAAACATCCTTTGAGAATACCAAGGAGTCAGCCAGATACTCGCAGTCAGTTAATATGACCAACTTACTTTGAGCTTGTGGATCCATTGTGACACCACTGTGAAATACTGTTCCCCATCTCTGCAACTTCAGTAATATTCATTGAAAATATTCCTAATTTCGAAGAGTACCAAGCAAATAGCCAATCACCGGTTACACTAGCTATGCCCATCGAAATGCCCTCTCTTGAGATAAGGCTGACTTTTGAAGACAGGGCTAATATAATTTAGAGCTGCCTGGCATTCCCGGGACGCCTTGCTACCCGAGAAGATATTAGTCGTAGTCTTCGTTACGGCATGTGTGTTAAGGACCACAGCCACATCCTTTCTAACTAGAACTTCAGCCTGATAAACGCTGCGATGGACCGGAATTCTGACGGATAATTGGTGGTGTTTGCCACTTTTTTCTTGACGGGATGTTCGTCTTAAAGGGCCTATCGAAGGTGGGTTTAGGAGCGGGTAGACGATTTCTGGGTCAAAATTACCCCTAGAGTTGGAAGTAAAGAAGCGTGGCTAACCCGCATATACTTACATAGTGCCATAGATGTTTAAGGTGACTTTCCTTTTGAGTTGATGGACATTTACTAGTAAAGGCAAATTTACGGGGAAACTGCAGGGAGTCTATGTTTCCTTGTAAAGATAATTACCTCAGGAATATATACTACTTTTAATCATTATATGTGAAGATTGATAGCTCTCGACTACTACAGTTCATTATAGCCTCTTCAATGGGCTTTGAGGGTGGTAGTGATAATGTCAGCGAAGATTCTATACATGAGGGTCGTATGTAGCATGCCTGCTAAAATGCTGAGTAAATAAAGTGCTTGTGCCTTTTCCGCAATTTATGTCCCGACTAGTGGAAGGCGGTAGGAGACAGTTGGTCTCAATTTCTGATCATCTCCAAATTACCCCAAAATGGCTCCATTGACATAGCGACATATACAGGAATGAGAAAGCGGTTGTAGGAGCGACGTTCAGGGAACTCAAAAGCGGAGTTACGGAATTATATCACTCCAATGCTGAGCAGAGGTGAAGCTGTAGATAGATCTGAGATATTTATGAACCACTTAAAAACAGAGGAGATATTGGAATTAGCGATTAGGAAAGTACTGCAAGGAAAGCATAGGGCACTGGTACGTGCTTCGCATCCTGCGAAGATCGGCATGACTTCCAACAGGACCCCAGTGCTCTGCGAGTGGCTGCCCTTGCCAGACTGAGGCTAGACACATCCCTACCGATTGTATCAGGTTGACTACTGTCTCTGACATACCGCAAATCATAAAAACCACCTTACACAGGTAACTGGTGGAACTTAGAGCATTTACTTGTTAGATGTGTAATCGGAAATTTTTCATTGCCTGCACAAATCAGGAAGCGAACCTGTTTTAGTACGCACTTCTAACCACTCGGCTACAGCCAATGATCAATCAAAGTTCAAAGTCCCTTCGTTTGTTACCCTTTCACGAAAATTTTAAAGGGGAGATCCAATATAAGGTGTTTACTAACCAAAGTCAAAACGATGCCCTACGGTGCGTCTTGATTGGAAAATTGGCACTCAGACTCTTTTGGACGCCGTTCAGATTAACGAAAAGTACTAAAGGATATAGAGCCTTGTGGTTTAATGAATATTCAGTAAATTTAAGATGCTAAATTTTCATAAGCTGAATAGCAAAAATTGCCACACACTGTGATATATTTCAGTCGCCACGCCTTTGCCCGCTGGGATCAAGAACGAATTTTAAGCCGAATGCAAAACGATTGGTCACTAAGCTAATCAGCGCACTTAAACCCATGCCACATGGTATATGCGGTAGTGAACTAAAATAAATGACAAAAAAAAATATTAAATCCACCAATTTTCCTATCAAATATCAATCTACCGATAGTACTGAAAGCCCACAGAGAGATCCGAGTTGACCATACTGCGTACAACAGCGTCATCAAAGTCCCATTGATAACAAATAGTGGCGATGGTCTTCTCAGTCTTGCGATGCCATGCCAGCAGGGTCGCCATCTGAATACGCTCGTGTATACGCTGCCAGTAGCTGATGTCGATGCCCTGTCGTGATGCAGATGCCGCTATTTGATAGTTATATTTCGAGTAGCGTGCAGCGATTGCTGTATCGGCCATCAGCGAACGCGGATCGGTCCACTCAAGTAGCAATTCAGCGCCCAACGCCCACGATTCGGTTATAGAGCGCATCAGCGATATGGTGCTGCGACCGCTATTCGAACGCACGTTGTACATGTTGCAGGTGAGCGTTGTCGATGGACGTGTCAGCTCGATGGTGGTCTGCGTTTGTAGCTCCACATCTTCGGCTGCGCGCTGCATGGCAGCTTCTAGACGCAACGCGCTATGCGGGTAAAAAACAATGCTAACATTTGAAGCCAATGTGGTTGGATTGATATCGGCCGTGATTGTGGGCGTTTGCTGCTGGGTAATTGAAAACGATAAAACAGTTACATATGTTATTCTTCGAAGTAAATAGAAACAATACGAACGGGGTTAGATAACATACTAGAAAATCTTCATATAAACGTAGCGAGTAAATGCCACCGAAACGAAATCCTGAGGGACGCGTATGACTCCACACCCAATTGCATGTGGCAGTTTTGTTAGCGGCTAGCCGATGTGCGTAGTCCAACTCGATGCCATCGTAATATGTTGGTTTGATGCGTTGTGCCAGTTTGTGTAGTTCGTGAATACTGCCGGGATTCTTTCTGTACGTAGTACCGGGGTATAGTTGAAAGCATGCTGGAAACTGCTGTGTGCATTTCTGTGGGCACCAATCGCACGTCATGAATTAAGTGGTAAATCGGTTCAGGAAATATACGTTTAATATCGATTTTTATTTGCAAAAAATATTGTAGATCAATAAAAAATATAATGAACACTATTCGTGGCGAGGCCTTTTAGCGGTTTCGCCGTATTTTGGCGGCTTTCTAAAAAGAATACTCAAAATTGGAAAAATAATTTTCAAAAATTGTGATTATTTTGTTTTTGAATAACGACAATATGTTTTGAAAACGTCAATGTGAAGTGTTGGAAAATTTTTAACAGTATGGTGAATTAAACTCGCATAGTTATTTCAAAGCACATGGCGTTCAGTAATTATTGTTACCAAGATACCGGTG